GTGCTCGGTATGCCACCTCTGCCAGTAAAGTTATGGGGCCGAGCTCGAGCGTCGCCCTGCAGCGAATGGAGCGAGGCGCTCAGTGCGCATTGGGGCGCGGCGCTCAAAGGAAGCTCGGCGGCGCGAGCTGCGCGACTTCGAGCATGCATGGGCGAGGCAGGGCGCGAGCTCGGCGTCGCCGGCCTGGCGCTGCTCGTGAGGATTGCGAGAGGAGCGGGCTACCCCGCGGCGGCGGTCGAGATGGAGGTCCTCGCGTTTGCGGCGCCTCGGTTCCCCAAGGACAAGGCGGCGCTTTGTGGGGCGACCTGGGTGGCCCGCTCCATAGTAGCGGGATCGCCAAGAGGCGTCGGCCTCGCGAAGGTATTCCTACACCCAGTGCTCCAACGTGCACACCTCATCTCACCGTCGGCCGGATCGTGGACATTCGTCGACGACGCCGTGGCCAGAGAGGAGGGCACGGAGCGCGACACCCCAGACATGATGGTCAGGCTGGCGAGTGAGCTGGCAAGCGGTTCAAAGCAGCAGCGGCTCAAGATCTCTGGCAAGACGGTCGTCATCGGAAGCTCCAGGGACATGGCCAAGACGGTAGCCAAGAGACTGAGACAGTGTGAAACCCCAGCCAAAGGAGCGACGCCCAGTAAGGACCTTGGCCTGGACACTGAAGCTGGAAGGAAGTGAGTCGCCCGCGCGCTGAAGAAGAGTCATGACGGCAAACAATGATTTGGCAAGATCAAGAGGCCCAGGACAAGGACGACCTTGGCAAGAGAAGCTAAGGGCCACTGGTCCACGGGCGCCTTGCCCCAGGCCAGCTATGGCCACCAGGCCTTTGGCCTCGCACCGCCAGAGCTCCTACGATTTAGACGCCAAGCAGGTCAGATGGCAGCCGGGTCCCAAGGCGGCAAGTGCCTCGCGACGACCCTCGCCATAGAGATGTGGGACAAGGAGCCAGGCCTGGAGATTCGCAAGAGAGCGTTTCAGAGTGGCTTGCGCTACGGCAGCTGAACCCACAGTTGCACGCGAGAGTGAATGTGGCCTGGCCCAAGATCAGGCAGAAGTTAATCAACGCATGTCGGCGACGATGGGCATACGTCAAAGGTCCCATCGCCACGCTACAGGCCGCGCTCATGGACATAGGCTGGAACCCCATTAAGGCGACGGAATGGGCCAGACCGTTACCAGATGGTCAGCTGCAGGCATGGACCATACCGAGCGGCACGGACTCAGACTACACCCAAGACCGTGAGAGGATTGCTAGACTGAGCGATGTTGTCAGTGATATGCGCAGATTGTATTGGCAGCAGGCGCCCAAGCACGAATATGGACAAGACCTGGTCCCAGCAGCAGATGCATCGCGAGTCCGCAGGGAGCAGAAACGGCTCCACGATGAGGGAGCTTCGGGTTCGGCTGCGCTCAACCCCACCGTCACCACGGGCGGGCAATGGACAATAATGAGGAGACAACGCGAGGGTTACCTCGTCCAGTCCAAGCTTTGCCCGAGATGCTTGGTCAAAGAATAATTTTTATACCGTCGAATTTGGGGATGCGAGAAGAACACGGGCCACGAGGACTTCGGGAAGGCAAAGAGCCTGGTGGCCCGGGCAGCGGCCCAGCATGAGGCGTCGCCAGGGTTGTGGCCGCGGGGCCTCCCGCCCGTCAGCCTCACCACCCCTGAGTCCGACGAGGCTCGCATCGCCTTTTTTAAGATCGATATAGGTCTCACGGCTTCGCCGAATGCATCGAGGCAGGCAGAGTTTTCATATTTGGAGACGGCTCGGGGGGCAAGCATTCAGATGATCCGGGAAGACGTCGCTGCGGAGCTGCGATTGTCGGGCTTGTCGTTGAGTCGGGAGGGGGGTGGACCTCGGGGGAGGCCTTCGGGGTTCTGCTCATCGGAGAAGTTCAAACTGTCCCCCGAGCCGAAGTTGTAGCATTCTGCCTTGCCCTAGAACAAGTAGAGTCTGATCTGCATTTCACGATTCTAACGGATCAGAAGACGATCTCCATGACCTGGAGGGCCCGTTTTAGAAGGCCAAACCCTACTGGGGTGAACGAAGATTTGTGGACTCGTGCCCGCAAAGCGTTCCAGGGCCGTAGAAATCAACGTTTAAACGTTATGTGGTTCCCTTCTCACAAGGAGGAGGCCCCTGCCAAGCTTGACACGCGAGAGAAACTCTGTCATGCCTCTGGCAACGCCTGTGCTGATTCATGGGCGGGGGAGGCGGCGGACTTGGCGTGGGCGGGGGCGGTGGGGGAGTTCCTGACGCGGACAGAATTGATATGACAGCTTCGCTGAGCAGACGAAGGGACAGACGAACCCTTGTGCGCGCTGCCGAGGCTGAGGACAAAACCCGAGCGGAGCGCGCCCCTTTGAAGAAGGACGCGCGCCCGACCAGGCTTGAGAGAGTTGCTGCAGCGTCAGACCACTCACTGCAGCCCTGCGGTCACGGCACATGTTTTTGGTGGTGCACGATGTGTGAGAGGGTCTTTTCCCGATACAACGCCCGGGAGCTTGCGGCCGCGAAATGCTCAGGGCCCCCTTGCCGAAGCTGGGAGGTCCCAGGCCGCTCCTGGCGACAGGATCGCGCCCGCCACTCGTGGACAAGGCGTGTGCGAGCGGAGTCACCCCTCACACAAAATTCAGGATGTGGTGAAATGGTTTCTGCATGTGTGCTCTCGGCCTGTGGCCAATATGTGGCCGCCGACCCCGGGAATCTAGTTTCCAGATGCGATGGGAGGACCCCGAAAGGTTCGGAGAACCTTTGGAGGCTGGCCAAAGGCTTGTTCCCGCGGAGAGAGGAGCCACCGAAAGCAATTCGAGAGGCCATAAGGGCCAGAGATGAGCTCCCTGTTGTGGCTGCGGCGGAACTCAGACGTCCGCCATCGCAAAACCCAGGTGTCGACCTGCCAGGCCAGGGTGCTAGGCCTTCAGGGGCTCAGGTGGGAGCGGGGGATGGTCCCGCGACCCCTCCAGGCCTGGCCAGGTCCAGGAGCCCCAGCCCGAGGGGGCTGGGGACAGCAGTTCCCGTGATTAAAACTCTCCCCCGGGACAGCGTCCGTCATCAAAGAGTCCAAAGAGTCCTCCTCTTCCTCCTTCTCCTCCTCCTCCTCCTCCTCCTCTTCCTCCTCCTCCTCCTCCCCGTCCTCCTCATCCTCCTCCTCCTCCTCCTCCTCCTCCCCTTCCTCCTTTCCCTCCTCCTTTCCCTCCTCCTCCATCTCATCCTCCTCCTCCTCCTCCTCCTCCTCCTCCTCCTCCTCCTCCTCTCCTCCTCCTCCTCCTCCTCCTCCTCCTCCTCCTCCTCCTCCTGTTCCTCCTCCTCCTCCTCCTCCTCCTCCTCCTCCTCCTCCTCCTCCTCCTCCTCCTCCTCCTCTTCTCCTCCTCGTCCTCCTCCTCCTCCTCCCTCCTCCTCCTCCTCCTCCTCCTCCTCCTCCTCCCCTCCTCCTCCTCCTCCTCCTCCTCCTCCTCCTCCTCCTCCTCCTCCTCCTCCTCCCCTCCTCCCTCCCCTCCTCCTCCTCCTCCCCCTCCCTCCTCCTCCCCTCCTCCTCCCCTCCTCCTACCACCTCCTCCTCCTCCTCCTCCCCTCCTCCTCCTCCTCCTCCTCCTCCTCCTCCTCCTCCTCCTCCTCCTCCTCCCTCCTCCTCCTCCGCCCTCCTCTCCTCCGCCCTCCTCCTCCTCCTCCTCCTCCTCCTCCTCCTCCTCCTCCTCCTCCTCCTCCTCCGCCTCCTTCTCCTCGCGCTTCCCTCACTGAAATGACTGTTTTCTGGATTTCTGACGAGTGGACTTGGGACGTCTTGAGGATTATTGCAGCATCGTCGATGCAGCCTTGGTTCGCTCTCGTCGTTGCTTTCGTCGTCATCGTCGTCGTCGTCGTAGTCTTCCTCCTCCTCCTCCTCCTTCTCCTCCTCCTCCTCCTTCTCCTCCTGGTGTTCTTCATCCTGCCCATCCTCCTCCTCCTCCGCCGCCATTTTGGCTTGAGCCGTCTCAGCGTCAGGCAAGGGGTCCCGGTTCCAGTCCCCCTCCCGCGCGTTTTGCGCCGGGGGCGGCCAGGAGGGGGGGGGGTTCAGGGGCTGGGGGCGGGGAGGGGAGGACTCTCTTATGGCCAGGGTCAGGACATCTCCCCGGATTGCGTGCTGCCTCCTCTTGTTCCAGTGTGTCCCTTGCCCCCCCCTCCCCTGGGCGGCGGCGTCCGCGCCTCGGGCGCCAGGATCTGCGCGAGCCCCACCCCCCGGGACTCGCGGGGCGCGTCCCGCTGCTCGCAACGTGCCTACAGTCGGGGCCGTGAAGAAGGAACCCTTTTCGTTGGGGAGGGGCTCCGCGTTGCTTACGTGTGTCGCAGCTTGCCTCAGGTTTTCCTTATGTTTTCGATCGGGAATCGAAGTTTAACTCATGGAAAAAAGGGGCCTCGTTCCTTATTTTGGGTTCCTTGGGTCAAGCCCCCGATTGTACTCGCAGACATCTGACAGAAGCCTGTCGGGTATAGCCAGGAGCCCAGATAAGGAGACCCGGCCAGCAGTAGGGCACCAGAATCACTAAACCAGGTCTGCCGTAGCTGGTGTGTTTTTTCGGGTGAGGGCAGCTCCGCTTAGTAAAATGGGGCGGGGGGGGTCCCCCGGCACACATTACTAAACCAGGTCCCACTTAACCCCGTTATGCCAACGCCCGAGTCTGTCTTCCTCATGTGCAGTGCACATATCGTAAGTCCCTCGCGGCGGATTCAGGCCGTTGGCGAGCAGTTGCTTCCCAGACATGCGGCATGCGACGTCCTGATGGTTTCAATGCGGTGTCCCTGGAAGTCCCGACCCTTTCCCCGGGGCCGGCTTTTCATCCTGAGCCGTTTTCTGACGGCCCCGAGGCCCGGCGAGGGCCCCCGGGGGCCGACAACGGTTAACAAAAATCCCGCCCTGATTCTTGTTACGACGCGATCATGTCTGGTTTTGCGAGTAGTGGAACGCGCTTGCCCTTGGACGCCCCCCTCCTGGACGCCCCCGACGATGGTGCAGAGATGGCTTCCGCCGCAGCGGCTGCCCGGCGCGGCCGGGGGCGCTGCCTCGCCGCGGCCCTCGCGCTCGCCGCCGTCTGGGGGCTGCTGGAGGCGCGGGGCCAAAACAGATACACGCCGGTTGTTAAAAGGAGGTATTTTTGAATTCTCAGATCCCAATCTACTTTTGGCGCCTTCCTACTTCAAGGATCGACTGGCTTCCTTCTTCCCTCCTCTTCAGGGGGCTGGCGGAAGCCCAATGTACTTCCAACGCCTTCCTACTTCATGTTTCTACCCTCTTCTTCCGACCTGCGTGTGCACTTAAGTCGGGCATGCCCCTCTACAGGAGGAACATCGTAAGGTGATCGTTTTCTTATTCATTGTTTTGCCGATCGGCGCGGGCCCTCACCCCCCCTCCCCTCCCTATGGAGTAGATCTTGGCTGTTTTGGGCGCCTGTTTCAAGCAGGTGAGGTCTCCCCCATAGGACGCACTGTTGCAAACAGTCGCGTTAAGCAGAAATCCGGAGCCAGACCCCCCCCTCCCGCCCCCCTTTACCGCCCAATGTCGAAACGCCGAAACAGAAAACGCTCACAAATCGGGCATGCCCCTCTGCAGGAGGAACATTAAAAAACAGTTTTGAAAAATAGTCGGGTGACGATGCTTCGACTACTTTTGTGGCTACCTCCGGGTATTTGTTTATGACTATAGTTCATTGTTCTTCCCAAATCCGTCTGTAGGGAGACATGCTCGATCTAACTGCACACCACCACCACCTCCCTCACCCCCTGCCTCTCCAAGGCGAGGAGAGGCGGAGGAGAGGCGAAGGAGGGAGGAGGAGCGGGGACCCGAGGAGGAGGAGGAGGAGGAGGACGAGAGGGAGAGGAGGGATGATACAAGCTAGGTGCGCTCGCGTCACATCTGACGTCCTACCCCTCCCATCCCTTACCGTGGCGTAAATCTCTCCTCTCTATTCGCACACTCGGATGTCGTAGCAGGGCATAGCACTACATGGCATAGCATGGTGTTGAAGATCAACGCGTAGCCTGACATGTGGCGTGGCGACGCCCCAAAGTGGGGGGGGGGCTTCTGCGGACCCAAAAATCAACGAATCAGCACCGAATGTGGAATCCCTTCCGATGGTTGTTTCGGGGGGGCCTTTTTTGATTTGGGGGCCTATTTGGAAGGATCGAACACCATGCCGTGGCATGGCAGTGAAAATGATGACGCCAACGCTGCAGCGGGAGTACGATTCGAAACGAGCGGAAGCGCGGAAATGAGGCCAGCGTTGCAGCGGGAGCACGATTCGGAGGACTCGTAGCCTGACATAGCTTGGCGTGGTTACGCCCCAAAGGGGGGGCTTCTGCGGCCCAAAAGATCAACGAATCAGCACCGAATGTGTCATCACTTCCGATGGTTGTTTCGTGGGGGCACTTTCTAGATTTTCGGGCCTCGATGGAAGGACCGAACACCATGCCGTGGCATGGCGGTGGAAATAATGACGCCAGCGCTGCAGCGGGAGTACGATTCGGAACGAGCGGAATCACGGGAATGAGGCCAGCTCTGCAGTGGGAGCACGATTCGGAACGAACGGTCGCTCGAAAATAATAAGGCCAGCGTTTCAGCGAGAGCAGCATGTTGAACAAACCCCCAGCGAAAACCGTTTCCCCGGAATCATGTGTATAAAAAACAAAGACGCGGAGGGGGGCCGAACAGTTCCCGGACGTCACCAGGGAAGAGAGGAGAGTAGTATCCATGTTGTGTAACTGTGGAGGGAGGAGAGGGAGGGAGGAGGGGAGGGCAGAGGAGGGAGGAGGGTAGAGGAGGGAGGAGGAGCGGTGGCACGAGTAAGAGAGGGGGAGGAAGAGAGGGAGAGGAGGAGGAGAGGAGGAGAGGGGGGAGGGAGGGGGAGGGGATGACAGAGGAGGTAGGAGGGGTAGAGGGGGAGGAGGGGTGGTGTGGTGTGGTGGTGGTGGTGGTGGTGGTGTATATGCCTGGGGCCCGCTGGAGGGCTCGCTGGCCTTCCTGTCGGCGGCGGGCGGCGGCGCGCGCCCGCGGGCGCTGGGAGCCCCGGTGGCGAGGAGGCCCCGCGGTGCCTCCAGCCGCCCCTCGCGCACGGCGGCGGTCCGGGCCTCCCGAAGGGTCCAAGTGCAGCCGGGCCGAGGTATTGAGATCGAGGTCGGTTCGGGGAGGGTGTCCTCCTCCTCCTCTTCTCCTCCTCCTCCTCCTCCTCTTCTCCTCCTCCTCCTCCTCCTCCCTCCCTCCCTCCCTCCCTCCCTCCCTCCCTCTCTCCCTCCCTCTCCCCCTCCTCCTCCTCCTCCTCCTCCTCCTCCTCCTCCTCCTCTTCCTCCTCCTCCTCCTCCCCTCCCTCCCCTCCTCCTCCTCCTCTCTTCCTCCTCCCTCCCTCCTCATATTTCTCCCCCTCCTCCTCCCCTCCTCCTCGCTCCCTCCCTCCCCCCTCCCTCCCTCCTCCCTCCCTCCCTCCCCTCCTCCCTCCTCCTACTCCCTCCCTCCTCCTCCTCCTCCTCCTCCTCCTCCTCTCCTCTCCTCCTCCTCCTCCTCCTCCTCCTCCTCCTCCTCCTCCTCCTCCTCCTCCTCCTCCTCCTCCTCCTCCTCCTCCTCCTCCTCCTCCCTCCTCCTCATATTTCTCCTCCTCCTCCTCCTCATCATCATCCTCCTCCTCACCATCATCATCCCTGTCCTCCTCCTCCTCCTCCTCCTTCTTCTCCTCCTTATCATCATCATCATCATCATCATCATCATCATCATCATCATCATCATCATCATCATCATCATCATCATCATCATCAGCAGCAGCAGCAGCAGCAGCAGCATCAGCACCAGCACCAGCACCAGCATCAGCATCAGCATCAGCATCAGCATCAGCATCATCATCATCATCATCATCATCATCATCATCATCATCATCATCATCATCGTCATCATCATCATCAGTATCATGATCATTATCCCTTTCCTCCTCCTCCTCCTCCTCCTCATCCTCCTCCTCCTCCCATGCTCTTCGTGTTTGCTGGATGCCCTTGTGCACCTTGGGGAGGGGACCCTTGGGTGTTCTGCGTGTTTTGGCCGGCGGAGGGTCTCATGTTCTTGAGGGATGTTCTTCCGCTCTAGGTCCGACTGTGGAGTTCATCGGCGGCGCGTCTGAGAGGAGTTGCTAGAAGTGCCCATGTCCCGAGGTTCCCCCAGGATTTCATAGGAGGCAAAGGGCGGTATAAAATAAACTATTCCGCCGTCGGGGACGCCTGCCCCCTGAGCGGCTGCAAGATTTGTATCCTTACACTACAAGTTTATGTTATACCTTTCCTCGCCCGCTAAGAGGAGGCCCCCACGGCATCCAGAGCACCCCTCACGAGGTCCAGGGGGCCCCGGGAGCTCCAATCCAAAGCTGATCGGAAAGCGTGGGGGGCACCTCGTGTCAGGAGCACCTCCTTGGCAACCCCCGAAGGCGGGCCGAGCCTCCCCAGAGGTCGGCGGGGCTTCCCAGAAAGCCTCGGGTCTTCGGAGAGGCCGCTTCTGCCTTCGGAGGAGGCCCGGACAGCTTGTCAGGAGGCCGAAGGCCTCCGAGCCCTCTGAAGAGGCCCGCCCCCTTCTGGCCCCTCCCGCTGGGCGCGCCGGCGCTGACAGAAGGACCGCGTTGGGCTCGGGAGGGGCTCGGATTTTCGGGTCGCTCCTCCTCCTCCTCCTCCTCCTCCTCCTCCTCCTCCTCCTCCTCCTCCTCCTGCTCCTCCTCCTGCTCCTCCTCCTCCTCCTCCTCCTCCTCCTCCTCCTCCTCCTCCTCCCCCTCCTCGCTTGCGGCCAGGCCCACCGGGGCCAGAAGAGCCCTCTCGTTCCCCATCGTGCGTCCCCTTATGGTCCTCGGCGCGATGGCTGCCGAAGGGGTCGGAGGGTCGCTCCCCGCATCGCCGAGGCATCGGCGATGCGGCGCGAGCCTCCCCAGAGATCCCACGCGTTGACAAAAATCAAGACGGAGGTTTCCCTCAGATTTCGGCCCCTGGGGGCCCTCGCCGGGCCTCGGGACCGCCAAAAAGCGACTCGGGATGAAAAACCGGTCCTGGGGAATGGGTCGAGACTTCCAGGGGCCGCGCATTGAAAAAATCACGACGTCGGATCTCTGGGTCCGACCCCATCCACTCGGGTCTCATTGGGGGGCCTCCAGATGGGCGCCCGGCCAGACTTCACCCTGGAGGTGGGGTGCAAGGTGAAGGCGATGTCCCCTGACGACGAGCAGTGGTACCCCGGCAGGGTGACGGAGGACGCTGGCGCGGGCAACTGGGTAGTTCAGTGGGACGACCCGGACGGCGGCCCAGAGACAAACACGCTGACCGAGGAGTACATCAAGAAGATCATTATCTTCAAGGACTATCAGGTCGGCGACGATTGCAGGGCCATATCTCCCGACGACGAGCGTTGGTACCCTGGCACGGTAGCGGAGGCGCTGGGAGAGGACAAGTTTCGCGTGAAGTGGGACGATCCCGACGGAGGTGAGGAGACCTCAGAGGTCCACTGCGAGAACATGAAGAAGGTCAACGTTAAGCGAGACTACAAGAAGGGCGACGAGGTGCTCGGCAGATTTCCAGAGGACGGCATGATGTACCCAGGTACGGTGATGAAGCAGAACAAGGACGGCACGTTCGTGGTCAAGTGGGAGGACCCTGACGGCGGCCCAGAGCAGTCCGACGTGAGCCCGAAGGACATGAAGGTCCCCCCCATCCCGTTCGACTCGCTCGAGGTCGGCCAGGAGTACCAGGGAACCGTGCGCTCCGTGCGGGACTTCGGCGCCTTCGTGGACATCGGGGCCGAGGGCGACGGGCTGGTGCACATCTCGTCCATCTCCAGGGAGCGCGTCGATGACATCTACTCGGTGCTCGAGGAGGACCAGGAGGTCAAGGTCTGGATCAGCGGCTTGCGCGACGACGGGAAGTTCGGCCTGACCATGATCGAGGGCAAGACGGACGGCGCCCAGGGGCGTCGTGTCCAGAGCGACGTCACCCCCTTCGAGGGCGTGTCCCCGGACGAGTGGTTCGAGGGCGAGGTCGTGGGCACGCCGTCCTTCGGCGCGTTCATCGTGCTGACCGCGGAGGACGGCACAGAGGCGCAGGGCCTCTGCCACGTGTCCCAGATCGCCGACACGTTCGTGGAGAACATCAACGACTACGTCTCGGTGGGCCAGAAGGTTGAAGGGGCCCTGGGACACACACATAAATACATACAAATAAAAGGATCCCCCACATTTTTCCATATTTTCTGGGTTTTTGTCTTCCCCACCACTTCCCATGTTTTCCCATATTTTCCTGGGAGTCGACGATTAATTGTGTCTGTGCTTTTTTCCTTCCTGAAAGGTGAAGGTGCGCGTCACGTCCGTGGACATGGACGCGAACAAGATGAGCCTGAGCATGAAGGAGGGCGGCGGCTTCGGCGGCGGCGGGTTTGCCCCCTCGGAGCCAGCCGACCTCAGCGCATTCGAGTCGATCAGCCCCGACGAGTGGCTCACCGGCACGGTGGCCAGGTGAGCGGCGCAACAAAAACGGGGCCGTCTGCACGGGCACTGGCGCGTGGGCGCTCTCGTTTCCGATGCGGCGTGCCGCGCTGGCGGTCCGCGTAAGCCACCGCGGAAGGTCGCTTTTTGACATCTCGCGTAAGGCCCGTTCTTTTTTCGTCGCTCAGGTGTGCTACCTTCGGAGCCTTCGTGAACGTGAAATCGCCAGACGGCGCCACGGCCGACGGCCTCGTGCACATCACGCAGATCAAGGACGGCTTTGTGGAGAGCGTGGAGGACGAGCTCGAGGTCGGGCAGGAGGTTCAGGTCCGCGTGGTCAGCGTGGACACCGGCGCGGGCAAGATGAGCCTCTCGATGAAGGCGGAGGGCGAAGAATGAGGCATTACCAGCTCGAACTTTTTGTTGCTGCGCCTGGTGGGGAGAGCCGCTAGACGTTGTTCCACTGCTGATGCCAGTCTCCGCGACTGGCGGGCAGGCGGCTGTGAGGGTCGGAGTTACCTCAAGAAGATGTTTATCCTCCTTCGCCGCCTCCTCTTCCCTCCCTTCCCTCCTCTTCATCCTCGACCTCCTCCTCGTCCTCCTGCTCCTCCTACCCAAACTTCCAGCCAGTGCAGTCTGAACCTAGATGGCCCCAGGCCATATGCCACATCGAGCTCCAGGAAACTGGGCCCACTAACAGTGTTAAGACGCCCCAGAGCCATATTACCTCAAGTCCTACCCAGACTTCCGACGGATTGATGTTTCAATTCGCGGGCACCGGATCCCTTCCCAGGGGTCCGATTTTCGTTGTAAGTAAAATTCTGATTGTCCAAGAAGCTGGAATCGGCCCCCGATGTTCACATCGAGAAAGAATTTTGAAACACTCGGGCCGCCCCAAGTGTGTACACGCTAGGTACACGGATCTAAGGCCAGGTCGACCATGGCCAGATTGGTGTGTGTACGCTTTCCCAGACTTCCCGCGGTCCAGAAAAATCTGGACCCAGGCATTCCATATTTTCGGCGTTCGGATGCCACTCCTGGTCTAGGGACGAGAATCCCGTCTTCGGGTTGGGGAAGAGAGGTCGAGAGGTCCGAGGGGACGCGTTTCGTGGACGCTTGCCTGGAACAAAACATATGAACACGTTCGCAAATGGCCTGGATCCGCCGCGGGGCATCTGCGATCCATGACATGTGGGGCACGCGTATGCTTGTCCGACGTTTGCAAGTGGGCACTGTGCGCGTCGTGGAGCGCGCTCGGTGACAAACATTTTGAGCACCCCTGGAGAACCGAGAGGGCCCGCCCCCCGCTGGACACCGGCGTCCCTACTGGGGCCCCCCCCTGTTCAAGGGGAGGGGGGGGGGATCCAACTTGGGGAGGGGGCCCTGTCCAAAGGGGCAGGGCCCTCCTTCCCTGTCCAAAGGGGGGGGTCCAACTCGGGGGGGGGCCCTCCCTGCTCAAAAGGGGGGGGGGGAGGGCTGTCCAAGGGGGAGGGGGGGGTGCCCGAACCGGGGAGGCCCCGCCTCCCTCTCCCGAGTTGCAAGTGGGGGGGGGAGGCGTTGAAACCGGGGTTGGAGGGGGGGCTCGAACCGGGGGCGGGCTCGAACTGGGGGGGGGCTCCTAACTAGGGGGCTTCGAACCGGGCCCCCCCACCCCTGAGGCCCTTTCCCGCTCCTGGCCCCCCCCCCCTGATTTTGCTAAGATGTGGGGGGTTCGAGCCTGGCCCCCCACCCCACCCCCGCCAGTTCGCGTCTGTCGTCGTCTCCTTCGTCGTCGTCGTCGTCCGGTCGTCGGCGGCCGTCGTCGTCGTCTTCGTGCTCGTCGTCCGTCGTTTCTCGTCTACTACGTCGCCCGTCGCCGTCGCCATCGCCGTCGCCGTCGCCATCGCCATCGCCGTCGCCGTCGCCGTCGCCGTCGCCGTCGCCGCCGCTGCCGCCGCCGCCGCCGCTGTCGTCGTCGTCGTCGTCGTCGTCGTCGTCGTCGTCGTCGTCGTCGTCGTCGTCATCGTCGTCGCCGCTGTTATCGTCGCGTCGCTGTCCGACGGCGCCGGCGCCAAAGGGGGGCCCCACGGTTCGAACCCAGGGTGGGAGTTTGGCCTTGTGCACGTCGTCGTCGTCATCGTCGTCGTCATCGTCGTCACTGCCCAACGGCGGCGGCGGCGGCGGCGGCGGCGGCGGCGGCGGCGGCGGCGGCGGCGGCGGCGGCGTCGTCGTCGTCGTCGTCGTCGTCGTCGTCGTCGTCGTCGCTGCCCGACGGCGCTGGCGCCGGCCCCTGCGCTCGCCGTCGTCGGTTGGAGGGGGGTCCCCCGTCGCCGTCGCTGCCCAACGGCGCCGGCGCAGGCGCAGGCGCTCGCCGCCGTCTGTTGCAAAGAGGGGGCCCCCCCCGCCAGGTTCGAACCCCCCCCCCTGCAACTCGAGAGGGGGGGGTGACCCGCCCCCCCCGGTTCGAACCCCCCTCCACCCCCCTTGGACAGAGTGGCGGGGGCTCGGGTCGAACCCCAGTCTCCCCCTCGACAAAAGGGACTTCCCCAACAGTTCGAGCCCCTCCCCTTGAAGTCAGGGGGGCGGGAAGGGCGGGAAGTCCCCCTCCCAGTCCCCCCTCAGGGGGGGGGAGCCCCCTTCCTAGTAGTTCGACCCCTTCTTCTTTGGAGGGGGGCGGGAAGCTTCCCTCCCGGTCCGAACCCCCGCACCCTTGTAACTCAGGGGTGCGGGGATCCCCCCTCCTGGTTCGAACCCACTTCCCTTGAGGGGGGTCCACCTCTCGCGGTTCGAGCCCCGCCCCCCCGACCCCCACCCCGCCCCAGCGTCCACCGAGCGCGCCCTTTCAACGGCATGGCAGAGCGTTTTTTCTGCGGCCGCTCTTGGACGGGGGCTGGGGCTCGACCTCCTCCTGGATGCCTCCTCCTCCTTCCTCCCTCCTCACTCCTCCTCCTCCTCCTCCTCCACCTCCTCCTCCTCCTCCTCCACCTCCCCTCCTTCTCCTCCTGCACCTCCTTCTCCTTCCTCCTCCTCTCCTAGTCCTCCTCGTCCTCCTTCCTCCTCCTCCTCCTCCATCCAAGGGGGTTCACAAACCCAGCCACCCCCTGCAAGGAGGGCGGGTGGCGCGAACCCCCCCCCCCACAACTTTTCGCCGATGAGCAAGAGAGGGGGAGGTTCGCTTCGCCACCCTCCCACACCCCCCCCCCCCCAACCCCCCCCCCGCCCACCCCCCACCCCCCTCCCCCGGCACTCGCTGCTAACAAGCAACGACGGCGAGGACCGGCGCCAGAAGACGACGACGACGACGAAGAACATAGAGGACGACCATGGACGTCGACGGCGGCGACGACGACGACGAAGAACGACGGACGACGAGCGACGGACGACGGACGACGAACGACGATGACGACGGCCGACAACCGACGACGTCAACAGCAACAGTCATGTTTGAAAGCTCTTATCTGCTCGCGGGCCATTCAGCACATATGTCCAAAACCCTGGATCACCGCCCTCTTCGTCTTCGATCGTACCCCATTGGGGGTGTATCTTTCTTACCTGCAACGTATATTTCGCGCAGCCCCTAAGGCAGGGGACAAGAGGACGGATGGAAGGAAGGGACAAGGGGGAGGGAGGAGGATGGAGGACGAGAGAGACTAACAGGAAAGGGGCTAGGAGCAGAAATCTCGTTGCAGAACCAGACGGGCAGATCGAGCGGGTAGAACCTTACGGGCGGGTCGGGAAGGCGGGCCCAGGCGGCCAGGTCAAGCAAGCGGGTTGCTGAAGCGTGCGTCCAGCTTGAATCGCGAAGAAGTCTCGAGCGACAGCGCGATTCCCAAACAAATCGCGAAGGAATCCACAGCGAGAGCTGGATTCCTGGGTGTCGAGGGCGCGGCGTCTGAAGAAATGGCGAAGAAGTCCCACGCGAGAGCGCGATTCTTGTATAAATTGTGAGGACGCCCCGCGCGAAAGCGCGATTTAGGATACATTGCGAGGAAGTGTCTTGCGGGAGCCGCTGTTGTTCTAAACCGGGGGCCCGGGCCCCAGTTTGGTGACCTTTCGCTCTCCCTTCATGAAGAAAACACCGTTCAAACCCCCGGAGAAGAACTTACACCGAGCAGCACAATGTGCCCCAGAGGGGGGAGATCAACAATAAATGCTTAGAAAAGAGAATTCAACAACAGAAACAAGAGCAGCAACAGCAACAACTGCATCAGCCACAGCACCAACAACAGCAACAGCACCAACAACGGCAACATCAACAATCATATTAAGACTGTTCGCTTGTCGCTGTTCGCGTGCAACTCAACACGTCTATCCCATACTCTCGATACCCGCCCTCTTTGTTGTCGACCGTGCCCCCTTAGGGGTATATCTTTCTTACTTGCAACGTGTATGTCGCGCAGCCCCTAAGGCAGGGGACAAGAGGACGGATGGAAGGAAGGGACAAGGGGGAGGAAGGAGGATACAGCACGGGAGAAAATGCCAGGAGAAGGGGCTGGGAGCAGAAAGCACATGGCAGAACTAGACGGGCCGACCGGGCGGGTAGACCCTAACGGGCTGGTCGGGAAGGCGGGCCCAGGCGGCCAGGTCGAGCAGGCGGGTTGCTGAAGCGTGCGTCCTGGTTGAATCGCGAAGAAGTCTCGAGCGACAGCGCGATTCCCAAACAAATCGCGAAGGAATCCACAGCGAGAGCTGGATTCCTGAGTGTCGAGGGCGAGGTGTCTGAAGAAATGGCGAAGAAGTCCCACGCGAAAGCGCGACTCCTTCGTACAAGTCCCGCGCGCGAGCGCGATTTGGGTATAAGTTGTCAGGAAATATCAGGCGGGAGCCGCTGCTGTTGTAGACCAGGGGCCAGGGGCACAGTTTGGTGGCACTTGCTTTTCCTTTGTGTCAAAAATAGGGGGTGCCAGCCCCGAGAGAAGCAGTTGAATTGAAACATTATTTTTTTACCGGGCAGGGCGGGACGAGCAGTACTTATTCTTTGGAATTGGAAATCCAACAACAACAGCAGCAACAACAACAAGCATGTTAAGACTGTTCGCTCTTGTCTGTTCGCGTGTCATTCAATATGCATATCCCAAACCCTGGATACCCGCCCTCTTCGTCTTCGATCGTACCCCCCTTTGGGAGTATATTCATTCACTGCCACGTGTGGTTGTCGAAGCCCTTGAAACCGAAGGGTGCCAGTTAACGGGTCACGAAGGGGCAGAGATGGGGCCACGAAAAGCAACAGCGGGGCCACGAAGGGCATGTATATAGGGCTACGACGGGCGCGAACGAGCGGGGGCCACGAAGGGCATACATATATGGAGCCACAAATGGCGACAGCGGGGCCACTGAGCGCAGAAAGTAGGCCACGAAGGGCAGCGAGGGGGCCACGAATGGCGAAGCCATCGCAGGGGGGGAGCGAAACGCAAGCGTAT